AGGTTTGAGCCAAGTGGAAAGGTGCTTCATGGCTGCAGTGTGTATGGTACCAGCCCTGAGAGGTCTGCCCCTTCTTAACTCCTCCACTATCCCTTAGGGCTAGGACTTGGGCATCTCCTGATGGCAATGGTTCCTCTTCTTCCAGGCAGCCCCCAGAGTTCTCAAGTCCAGCCCTGCAGAGAGAAGCAGGCAGGGAGGTGGAAAGCCATCCTGGTTGGGTTCAGACAGACCCCAGTTCCAGCTGCAGCTCGGCCCAGCGTGACTGGAGCTTCTAGCCAGACACTTCCTTTATTCACCCATCAATTTGGTCAGACGTTTATTGACATCTACTGTAACTGAGCCTTGGTGTCCTTATTTATAAAATGTCAAGAAAGCATCACTCGCTGGACTGTGGTAAGGATGGAAGCTGGAGGAGGAATGCACCCAGACTCCTCTTCCCGCTCCCAGGTGTGTGGGGAAGAGCCTGCCTCCCCTCCTGGGTGCTGGACCCTTCCCCACTAGAGAGGGAGGAGAGAAGGGGTAGGGGAGGCGGCTGTTCTCAAAGTGATGCCTCTGGGCCAGGAGGATGCTGGTCTCTGGGGAATTTCTTTGCTAAGAGCTCCACAGGCCACAGCCTCCATCCGGTCAGGCGGAAATCCTCGACTCTCAGGACAGACACAAATCCCTCCTGGGAGCTGTTTGTTGTTTTTAGCTGGTTTGGGGGCTCAGCTCCTGCCCAGACCAGAGATCATTAACACTCCAGGAATGTGGCCACCCCTGCCCCCATCCCCCCCGCCTGGCCCATCGGACTTCCCTCCTCTCACTCAGGCCACGGTTAGAAGGAGAGTCAGAATGTGAGGGGATGGGTGCCACGATAAGTGACCCTTCCTGATGCCCCAGGGACCTAGCCTCATTTTCATAGCTCCCTCAGTTCCCCGAAAGCTGCTGCAGCTTCTACCATCTTGGCCATCCCTCTGCCACCAATTAGCTCCCAAAACAGGAATGCCTCAGCTACTTCCTCCAAGGCCTCACCCCTGCATATCCACCCTTCCCTGCAGAACCGAGAGTCTCTCCGGGCAGTGGCTCACACCTCACACTGAGGCAGCCGTGGGCAGCCTTGGCAGGCAGCCGTGGGCAGCCTTGCCTAAGGCCAAGGCCAGTCTCTCCTTCCCTTCCCCACGAGGACACCTCCTCAGCCACAGCAAGAATCTGGGGCCCACCCCAGTTCCCTGGGCCTTATGGAGGGGTGGAGAAGAGAGCAAAGGAAAAGAGAAGATGGACAAATGGACAGACAGGCCCCAGACCACCAGACGCTCTCCTGGAAGACCCCATGTAAACCCATGGGGAAGTGAGGGAAGGGGCCAGCCCTCCATCCCAGGCCAACGGATGCTGGTTCTCCTCCTCTTCATATGTTAGCATGAGAGAGGAGGGACAGTACTGCAGGGCCCTGAAGCAGCTCAATGTCATTAGAGAATAGAGAGGAGATCCAGGAGCGGCGGTGTGGCCAGGTGCTGCCGGGCCAAAGCCAGCAGAGAGCCCCTTGAGGCTTTAAGTAGAGAAGTGGAGTGACCTGGCTGCAGAGTGGCGGGTGGAGTGGACACAGTGAGGCTGTTGGGGAGACTGGTGAGGGGGCCCCTGCGGCGGTCATGGTGAGGAAGATGGGGCCTGGGCCATGTGGTGGGGGTGGGGGTGGGGATGGGGATGGGGAAGGAGAGAAGTGAAGATTCAGGACTGCTCAGCTCTCTGTGAGGGTGGCAGAGGGAAGTAAGGGATGACCCTAGGTTCCTGGCATAGGCAGCAGAGAAGGGGCCATTTCTGAGCTAAGGCACAGAGAAGGAAGAACAAACCCACAGGAAAGGGGATGCATTCCAATTTCCAAGGCATCGGAGGCTCCTGGGAGATAACCAAGTGGACACCAAGAGATGAGGAATTGCTGGTCTGGAGCTCAGGAGACAGGTAGGGATGGGAAATGTGGATGTGTCTGTTATCCATGTCTAGGGAGCATCTGGAGCTGGAGGAGCAGAGATGGCCACCCAGGCGAAGGAGGTGGGGTGAGAAGAGGAGGACTGGAACGGAGCCCTGAGGAGCCCCACCTCTGAGGCCTGGGCAGAGACAAGGAAGCTCAGCCACAAGGGATGTGTCAGGGCTGAACTGCATCCTCCAGAAGTCATCTGTTGAAGTCCCAATGCCTCGTGCCTCAGAATGTGAGTGTCTTTGGAGACAGGGTCTTTACAGAAGTAATTAAGTTAAAATGTGGTTATTAAGGTGGGCTCTCATCCAAACGAGAATCCAAAATGACTGATGTCCTTTTAAGAAGAGGAGATTGGGATGCAGCCATGCTAGAGGAAGAAGCTCCTGTGAAGATGAAGGCGCCGTTCACAGGCCAAGGAGAGAGGCTTCAGAAGAAACCCGTCCTGCCAACCCCTGACCTCGGGCTGGCAGCCTCCGGTGCTGGGAGGGAATAAATTTTGGTTGTCGAAGCCACTCAGTCTGAGGCGCTTTGTCGTGGGGCCCCAGCACACCAAGGCAAAAGGCGAGGAAGGCAGGGAGGGCATGGTATTCAGAGGACATTGATGGGAGTGCTCCAGGTACAAGGGGCTTCCACGTACCTCACTGAAGCCGACAGGTGAAGGGAGACATGGACCAAGGCGGGCCCCATGGAGGACCCAGAGAGAAGGGCCTCAGTGGGATGTGGTCAGGGCAAAAGACAGATCTTCATAGGTCAAGAAATCAGTAGGACTCCCATGGATGGCTGGCATAGCTAATTCCTTCATGAAATTTAGCTGATGGGCAGAAGTGGGGCATTGTGACATGGAGCTGAGGGGGTGCTTAGAAGGTGGACCCTCAGGCAAGAATCAGAAGAGACTGTCACAGAAAGAGGAAGAACAGCCTAGCAGTGAGCTGCTCCAGGCAGGGAGACTCTGAAGCCCAGGTTGGAGGTGGGGGTTAGGGGTGGGGTTCTCCTGGGCCAGAAGGAAAGTGGCGGGTGGTGACAGGAGGCAGGTGGAGAGGATGGGCTGGCTGCAGGCAGCGTGGGGTTGAGGATAAGGAGCCCCCGCCCCTCCAGATCCACTCTGTGTCTGTCCACCCGCTCTGTCCCTGGAAGCTAAGGGCTGTCTGTCTGGCTTCCACCACCAGGAGTCCCAGCAGGAAACTGGGGGATTGGAGGAGTGACACTGGGGGATTTTTCCCTCCTTGTCCCTCCTGCCATCTCTGGGCCTCTCTGTACTGAAGGTTACAGCTCCTACCTGGGGGCCCTCTCCAGCCAACTCCTCCAGGTTCCAGTAGCTGTCACTGGTCCTTCCTCTTCAGGCCTCAGGGCCATATGGGCTCCCCATTGTTACCAGCTCTGGGGTACTGCACCATCCCTGTGGGTTCCCCAAAATTTAATTGTTCCTGTAGTAAACTCTCCAAGTGCTCTATTTGAAGGTACCATCTGACCGATGCAAAGGTGTCCCCTTCCAGCACTGTCTCTGAAGGTGGGAGTAAGGCCCTCTGCTGAGTCAGGGGGAAGAGAGGTTTGGAGGGAGGGCAGCAGAGAACTTTTCAACAGGGCGAGGCCTCAGCTGAGGCTGGGACCTGAAACATCGAGGGGCGCCATCCCGCACACCTGCCGGCTGTCCTCATGGACTCAACTGCACGGGCGGGTGGAGAAGCAGGTTCAAGCAGGGTTTCAATTCTGCCAGACAGGTGCAACCAAGGAACAGTGGGACATAGGTGTGTCGGAAAGAGACCAGAGGGGGCTGTGGCCTGGGGGCCCCCACAAGGTGCCACACTGCTGCAGAGGGAAAGGAGCGAGCCAGCGAATGGGAAGAGCTCAGGGTTCGACGGGAAGACATCCGAATGTGTGATTTGAGAGAAGGCCCCATTCTGGGCTCTGATCATCCCTGAGAGAGGATGGTGAGGGGGAGATGAGGGAATGAAAGGCTGGGATGCTAGGTGGGTTGTCCATGCAGACCCCAAGATCTGGGGGACAGGAAGACTGTAAGCCGTAGCCACAGCTTTTAACAAATGAGGGGGCATGACCGGGCCACGCAGTCACAGACGGCACACGTGCACAGCCGCACACATGCACAGCCGAACGCCCACAGGCACCCACACAGTCACACTCACGCGCACGCCCACAGCCCTCCCAGACACTCCAAACACCCTCACATGCACTCACCCTCACACACACCCTAGACAGCAGATGGGGCGCTCGGGTAATTGGTTAAACCTGTTCCGATGTCTGGCTCCGCCTTGGCAGCGCCCGTCTGACAGGAAAGCTGGCTGGGCCTGCATCGCTCAGCCTGCTGGCCGCCCCTCCCCTCCTCTCCCCTTGCCTGCAGGGATGCCCTGGAGCGGGGCTATAGCAGAGGCATGTGGGCCTGGCCGGTTCCCTCTGGACAGAGCCTGGTTCACTTAGCCAGGGCGCCTTGATGCCTCCCGGGAAGCCGTCCCAGCACGTGCGAGGAGGCGTTGGTGCAAACCAAGTGCAGAGATGCTAGGAGCGTGAGCTGTACTGCTGCGAAGGCCATGGGGACGAGTCCTGGAAAGTTCCACGGACAAGAGCATGTGCAGAGATCAGTCCCTGAAGGTGAGGGTGTGGATGAGGCCACCAGGGTTCAGAACAGGCCCCCTGAGCTCCCTCTACTTCAGCCGAGCACAATTTGGAGCTCCTACAGGTGTTCATGATACCTCAGCCCACGAGTTCTGCAGGCCCCGGGAGGCCAGCCCAGCTGAGGGGAGTGGCTGACCTGGGTCCCCTCGGGGAAGGCCTGGCCATGCAGTGCCTGCACGCGGAGGCCACCAGCAAGCTACTGTCCGTGGGTCCTCACCCTCTGCAGGGCCCCTGCTCCCCAGGTGGGAGGAGCCGTTGGGGGAGGGAAGGGAGCAGCAGTCCTCGTCTTCTTCCCTTCTCGGCTGCATCTGTGTCTCTTCGAGAGAGACTTTGGTTTGTTCCCTGGAGAGGGCCCAAAAACTCCCAAATTAGCAAACCTGGCAAGCCCGCAGCTCAGAAAATAGTTCATCCTGATTCCATGTTTTTCAGGCTCACAGAAGCCTTTATTAATGAAGTCACAACACCAATATTTACCGTCTGCAGGGAGAGGCACAACATGGGGGGTGGATGGGAGTGCGGCAGGGACTCCCCGCCCCGCCCCCCGCAGGCCTGGCCTCGGGAGATTGGCAGGTTTCCTTGGATCCCTTCCAACCCTTTATTCGGATGACAGGGGGTGCTCTGCTGTGATCTTCCTGGACCCCCTCCCCGTACCAAGTGAGGCAGGATCTTGAGAGGAGCAGCTCACCCCGTCTCTGTCCCCCACTGGGGCCAAAAGGATGACTCTTCCTCCCACCTTCCTTCCACACCTGGGCATGTGTGCTCCCAGAAGTGATCCCACCTGCTTGGCAGTGAGGGTCGCCATGTGGGTTAATCTGGATTAGGACTTTCAAGACGCGCAGAATGCATTCCTGACTGATGGAGGGAGAGGGGTGTTGGGATGGGACAAAGCCCTTTGGTTTCTAGCATTAACTGGACACAAGTGAGGTGGGCAGAGGCGGCGGGGGGAGACACTGAGAGTGCGAGTGGGATCTGGGTCTGTGCTCCCAGCAGAACGACCTTATGTGCTTGGATCCCTGCATGTGGCCCAGGCAGCAAGGCTGGGCCTCTGACATCTTTCCAGTGAGTTCAACATTGATCAAGCACCCGACATTCCAGGTGAGAACAGCATGAGCGAAGGCACAGCACAGGGAAAACCTGTGGCTCCCTCAGGGACAGGGATGGGGATGCTGAAGCAAAGGGTACCAGGAGCAAGGCAAGAAGATGGGGCAGAGGGGCTCAGAAGGGGGTGACTCTGCCCTGTTTGGGTGCAAGGAAGAGAAATCTAGCTGCAGCATGGAGGGCCTCCTTTGAAGTGGGCCTCATCCTTGACATTCACAGAAACCTCCCTAGAGGAGCAGGGCCCAGGCCAGGCCAGTGGCACGAGCTGGGCAGGGGGGCAGCGGGGGGGCTGCACTAGGGAGGTGTGGTTGGGAAGCCAGTCTAGACTCAACCCACTAGATGGGAATGGATGGGGCTGGGGAAGAGGAGAGGAAGCTTGAGGAAGATTCCCAGGTTTCCTGTAGCTTGGGAAACTGTGTACATGGCTAATGCTTTTTGCCGAGGTGGGTGATCCTGGAGAAGCACAGATGGGAGGTGAGTCCTGCTGTGGATGTATTGGCTTTGAGGTGCTGAGGGGCAGGGGGTGGACCAGGCAGCTGGCTTGATGGGTCTGCAGCTCAGCGGAGGTCAGCTAAAGACACAGACCAGGGAGCCAAAGAGAAGTCCTGGAAGTGGATGTGAGCCCTCGAGGCAGAGGGCACAATGAGGAGGCAGGGAGAGCAAGGACTGACCTGGGGGTGGCCAGAGGTGACAAGGCATGGATGACACTGAATGAGCTCAGGCTGGAGGAGGAGTCAGAGCTACCGAAATGAAGGCAGAGCAGGGTGGGAGAATCCAGGAGGGCATGGCCAACAGATCGGGGAGCAGGTGAACCCAGACAGGAAGTGGTTGAGTTTGGCCACAAGGGAGTGGCCAGCGACTGTAGTTGGTGACTGTCAGCACCAGCAGAATGGTGGCATGGAGGCCAAAGAGCAGAGGTTTCATGAGCACATGGGAGGTGAAGAAGAAAGAGGGGTCTAGATGTCGTAAGGTAAAGACTTAGGAATGCAGATATGCTTGTCAGGAAACCTTCATCCTGACAAACAGATGAGCAAGTGGGACAAACAGAAGGGCAGGTGAACATAAGAGCTCAGCGGGTCCCAGCGCATTGCTCTTTCTTGGGCTGAGGAGGCCGTGAGTCACTGGGGACTGGATGCAGGCTCAGCCTTAAGTCCTATCTCTGTAGTCTTAACCTGCCCAGGGGTTCCCCCAGGACAGGTGAGCATCCTGGTGGGCCCACGACTTCGGTCTGGAACCGTCAGCCTTTGTGAGTGGTGTTCCCTCCCCCAGACCCCAATCCTCCCTTCCTCTGGTTTCTCCTCAACTGGAGAAGCCACCAGAGTCTCTAGGCAGAGGGAAGCACTGTCTCCCACTGAATTACCTGGGCCTGATTCCCACCCCTCAATATGTTAAGAAAGACCTGGGCCCGTCCTCCCTCAAGATACAGGGTGGCCCTTCCCTATGTCTAGCCTGTTTCTCTTGCTGTGGAGCTGGAGGTAGAGACCAGGGTCTCCCAACTAAAGAGAGGAGTTAATGAATTCCCCTTGCCCCCCTCCACCAGTACCCCACCCGGGCTCCCAGGCCCTGAACGCATTTGCTCTACCAGCCCCCACTGGCCCTCAGAGTCGGAATCTACCACCCCAGGCTCTGGGGCTGGAGCTGGATGCCCGTGTCATTAAGAGAGAGACTTTTATTATTCCCATAGGGAAGGGAGACACTGGGGATCACTAAACTACAGTGGTGCCTGGAAAATAAATTAAAACAGAAACGCATCAAAACAAAAGGGAGATTGGAGACACGGAGAGCAGCTGGGAGGCTGTGGTGGCGGGCGGGCCCGCCCAGGCAGGCAGGCTCTCCGAGGAGAAGGCCAAGTGGTCCCAGGCCTCAGCCAGCCCATTGCTTGTCCCTCTGTCAATGGCAGCCCCGGACTTCAAGCCCTGTGGGGCCATGACTCCAGGCCTCCCCGAAGCCTGGCCAGGGAGTGGCCAGAGTCCAGCTTGGGCCCACGCAGGGGCCTGGCCAGCAGCAAGCAGCACTCTGCCCTCGTGGGTTTGTGGTGGCCCACCCTAGTCATTGGAGGTGACATCGATGTCCTCCCCATTGGCCTGCTTCGTGGCGATGCGCCACCGGTTGATGTGATGGGAGCCCTTCTTCTTCTGCTCGGACTCAGGCCCTTCCTCCTCCAGCTTCTGCCGTTTGTACTTTGTCCTCCGGTTCTGGAACCACACCTTCACCTGGGCCAGGGAGGGAGGGGCATGGATGAGAAACTCAGGAGGCCCCCAGAGCAGCCACTGGGGCCTCAACAGTCAGGCCGAGCTGACACCCGAAGGGAAAAACAAAGCCAAAAAAGGGTAAGGCCCCCAAGGCCGGGGCCCCTCTGGCCAGCTGCCCCCATGGGTCTAACATTCACAGAAGGGGATGGCAGGGCAGGAAGAGGACACAGTGGGCCAGAGAGGAGGATGTTTTTCCTGTTCCTCTCAAATAAAGGGTCACAGAGCTGCTGCGCATCCCAGCTCCTCTAGCCCCAGCAAAGCCAAGCCCAGGTGGAGGAGCACAGGCTCCGGAAGCTGGCAGACCTGGGACTCCACGAGTTTCTAGAGGAGAGATCATAATCGCTCCTTCACAGAGTGGATGTGAGTAGTAAATGAGGGAGCCTATGACCCACTGCGTGGGTTCCCATGAGCTCCCACAGGGCCTAAAGTGGACAGCACCCCATGGGCCAGCCCCATGCTCTTTTCCATACACAGAGGCAGAGTGGGCATGGTTTCATAACCAGGAGGTGGCGTTTATACCAAGAGCAGTGCCTGGACAGCCAGACTACCCCTGGGGGCACAGAATCCGCTGCTAGAGACTCCAACCTCACACACTGTGTGGTCTCCTTCTTCAGGGGAGGCTTTCTTAGCAACCTCATGTAGCTCTCTCCCACCCCTCCTCAGAAGTGGAGCTGTAGAGGCTGGAGCTGGGCAGGTGGGGGGCCTTGTCCCTCAGGTGCCAGCTCCTCAGGGTAGTGAGGCCTCATTCTCCTTGGACAGACAAGGACAGGGAGGAGGCGGGTCTGAGGACAGTGTTCTGCCCTTCACGGGCAGCTCCAGACCTTCTGTCCCCACAGCACTGGCTCCTGCAGCCCATCCAGATGTGGGAACAGGTCACACAAGGAACAGTCAGGAGAAGCCCAGGGGACAGAAGCGAGCTCCACTTTGAACCCAGGGAGCCCCCTCTTCTGTGTCTGGCAGTGAGAGCCCTGGCAAGGTATGGGGTGGGGTTCAAACAAAAACTGGACAACCATCCTCCAAGTTGGAGGAGGCATGAGGCAGAGGACAGGTCTATGGTTCTAAGCCATGTCCTCCAGGAAGCCTCTTTTCCCTCCTCCTCCAGTATCTGTTCAGTGTCCAGCACACAGCCCTTAATGTCCTCTCATGCATAATCTGGGAGGCTTGTCCTGGCTCCTGGACTGGCCTTAGTGCTTGTGGGCTGTGGAGAAAGCCTTTATCTGTCAACTCTCCCTGACTCCGTGGTTCTTTACTTGGCTTTGCAGAGTCGGGCCAGACCCACACGTCTTCAGTGTTGGCAGGAGGATCCTAGGTACTGATTCTCAGCTAAGTCCCTTCCCCCTCGGGGCTTCAGTCCTTCATGCATAGAAGAAATGTTCTGGGGACTCTTGCAGTGCCAGGGCACCTCTTGGATTCTTGCTCCAGAGGGCCCCTGGGGGAGGAGGTGCAGAGGGCAGGCTACAAGGCCCGATGGTTTCCAGAAAATGACAGCACATTCAAAAGCAAGTAGGTGTGGCCAACTGCAGCTATGCAGACGGTGCTGCGTGGCAGAGTTGCGGGTGAGGAATGGTGGGTAGCCTCTTAGTTTTGGCAGCAGCAGTGATGCTGAGGGGAGATCCTTGAACCCTGGGCAGGGCTGAGGGCAGGCCTCAGAAAGACTGCTAGGTCCAGCCCCTGCTCCCAGAGAACTGGGTAAAGCACAGGCCTTAGCCACAAGGCCAAGCAGTGCATCCAGAGGCAGACCTGGCCCCTGTGCCCTGCAGATGGTTTCATGCCCAGGAGGTGCTGCCCCTACACCCTTCCCAGGCAGTCCTCTCTGTCCCACCTACCCCAGGACCTCCCCTCACAGTCTCTTCTTGCCGGGACTTCCACTGTGCTATCTGCCCTGGTTTGAGAGCACTGATTTTAGAGCACTGGCACGGGGATGGGGGTAGCTGGCACTGAGTGCTTGCAGAGCAGCAAGCCAGGGTCTGGAAAGCTGGCCCAGGAAGGGTTGGTGCCCAGCCTCGATGGATGGAGTGAGGGCAAGGGGATTCTCCCCTCATTTTCAAACCCATAGCCTGGACATCTCACCTAGGCCGGCCGTGGAGGATGGCAGAGGCTCTGGGCACAGGCTGCTGGACTCCAAGCCCACCTATCTTTGGGCGCAGGGCCACCTGGACCCTGGGTGGTTCTCAGCACAACCATTTGGCAGCAGCCTCGCCCCTGCCCCCCACCCTGGAGCCTGCTGTGACTGTGCCAGCCAGTGGGTGGGTGAGCTCACCCTGCCTCCTGCGCATGACTCAGGGCCGGATGCAGGGCCGGGGCGTCATTCCTGAGAAGCCCAAGTGGGCTGGCCGAAGGTGACCGTCAGGTGATGCAGGCAGTACCAGGGACCAAGGGCCCTTTTCTGTACCTTTCTCCTTCCACACGCATTTCCAAGTGTCCTTCAGGAAGGAGACTGACGGTCACATTGGCCTGTAGTGGGATGGGCCCAGCATGCTGCCCTTGTCTAGCAACACTGGCTCAAAGAAGGAAAGCTTTGGATGGCGACTTCAGGCACAGGATAGGCCAGAGGCAGCTTCCTAGGGCACCCAAGTGAAAGGTGATTCTGAGTATTTTCTCCATGAAAAATACTGGGGTCAAGTAGGCATCTCTCTAGAAGCAGGGACATAAACCCTCTCCCTGTGCAGCCTGGCCATCTTCCGGAGAACAGCCTTGGGCTGAGTGTCCAGATGCTGTTTACAAAGACTGCAATAACAGGGTGGTGCTTATGACTTCATAGCATTAGTGGAAACGCCAGGATGCACAGGGCTGGCACAGTGTGATCATAACCATAGAAAAACAAAATCTACACACGGGGAAAAAAGACTAGAAGGAAATGTACCCAAAGTGTGGGTGATGTTTCTTTCTTCTTTCTACTTTTCTGAATTTTCCTTAATAGATTATTGATAATGGTAGTTATTTTTTACTGGGTAAAAGAAAAGGAACTGGGCTCTGAGGGTATTAGGAGATGAGAGTGACATTTCATGACCTCTCCAACCTACAGGCAACTCTGGATCCTCCAGACCCCCTTCCCTAGAGAACACAGGCCCTGGAAAGGAGCTGGATCATACGGTGTGGCTTGGAGGCTGGATCTGTCCTGCACATGCCTCCCCATCCCCAACACAAACACACTACTCACCCCTCTCTAAGCCCCAACGTACAGTTGGAATGTTGGCTGGAGGACCCCTTGCCCACTCTGACCTCTCTACTGTAGCAAGAGGTCCCTTGTGGTCTCCCAAGTCCTCACTTCACTGAACGTCTCAGTTTCTCAGAGGCCAGATCCTTCCAAAAGTCTCTGTTCTCCTGAGTTACCTAACCTGGAATACTCTCCTTAGCCTTCAAGACACTGACCTGATGTTCCTTGATGGGCCTGCCCCATCACCTGCCTGTAGTTCCTTAGTACCTCTTCCCAGTCTCGGTAACAGTGACCCCCACTGTGCACTAATTTACTTATTTACATCTGTCTCCTCACCACACTATGAGACTGGAGAACCAAAGTGGTATGTTAGTCCCAGTGCCTTGCCCAGAGGACATGTTCCATGTATAGTCATCTGGCTGGACAGGCCTATGCTCTAGGCAAGAGGTACCTGGGCCAGACCTGGAAAACAGGAGAAAATGAATAGAAGAGGGGCAGAATTCTAATCAGCAAAGGGTTTGAGAAGTGCTCAGTGATAGAGAGACGGGATCTTTTTCTTAGTTTTGTGGACACTTTTGCAAGAGGGCCAGTTTTTAATATTCCACATGGTAAATTGGATTGGCCACTTTTAGGGGAAGTTGGAGGAGGGAGATCTACTGCTGGGCGGAAGACAGGTTGGCTTGAGTCAGGCAGAATGAAGAAGGTGAAACTGCTATGGATGAATGAATCAATTTGCTAGAGGATTGATCAATGTATGCATTAATGAATGAAGACATGCATGCAAGAACAAAGGGAAAAATGAACTAACAAACAAGCAAATATACAGCTCCAGCCAATATTTCAGAACTAATCAGACTTTACTTTGGAATAATCTATTTTGAATGAACGAGGTCTGGATCCCTTCTTTTTCACCACTCCTGCAAATGGAAAGGTCTGTGGCTCCAGGCCCCTGCACACTTTCAGGTGAATAAGTGTCCTGTCGTCAAAGATTTCAAATATCCCAGAATGGACAGGAGCCTGGAGACATCAATCAAGTCGCCCCTCAGCCTACTCTCTTCCCTGGGGACCCATTTCCTATCATTTGATCATGTGGGCTGTTCCCACTCTCAAGGTCAAGCCCAATGCCATGCTAAGTTCAACCTTCACCCCAGTAAGCTGAGGTCACCTCCAGCTCCCCACCAACCATAACCATAATATCCCTAAGCCTCCCTGTCTCCTCCTCTTTCAGCCCAGCCTGGACCCTTCCTCTCTCTCTCTCAGGGAGACATCATAAGATTTACCTCAGGACATGTCCCCAGTCCCAGCTCCTCACAGAACCACTCTAATCTCCTTTATCTCCCCCTCATCCTCCCACACAGGACTCCTAGAACATGAGATGCAGAAGTTCTTGAAGAAAAGCCAAGACTTAGACAAGAGATATGGACACACCGTGAGCTAGGAACAAATGTCTCTTGATTTCTTCCTAAAATTCAGGTCACTTGGATATCCCCCTCTTATCCATCCCTCTAAGGGCAGAACATTCCAGAGCAGGAAAGGACCCTCCAAATCCTCCTTTCCATGCCTCTGAGGGGAAAAAGCCATAGGCAGGTGACCGTAACTCCTGCCTCCCAAGATCTCCCTGCCTTGGACTCCAAGATGGTGGCTGGTCTGGACAGCTCCTGCTCTATCTTCATCTGCCTGCCTCAAACCCTCCTCTTCTTTCCCTCCAACGTAGGATCCTAAGCATTCCCCCAAGCCTTCCAGGTCTGAGGCCTCCCAGAGCCATCTTCTCAAGCATTTCTATCCTGATACCCCTCAGCCCACAGCTGTGACATCAAGGGGACCCTAGTCATTCATCCTGTGCATGCTTCACAAGTGTGCAAGCTTGGCACTTAGGCTTCATCACTCAGTGAGCAATCTTCAGAGCCACAGACCACGTTTCTGTACCCTTTGCCCTCACCGCTCAGCTAAACTCTAACCCAGACAAGGTCAAGAAACACCTGCTGATCTCTTCAGAGCAGAAGGAGTAGCTGGAAACACTGACCAGTTGATCAACCTGGAGCAACCAGGTGCTTTCTCTCACTTCCCCTAAAACTAACTTACCCCTACCCCCGACACACACGAACACACACTGAAGCATGCAAGCTGCACTCCATGTCATGTGACTGCCTAATGGCATCCAGTGTGTACCTATGCTATCATCTGACCTTTGGGCATCAATCACATGAAGCCCGCTGGTGCCCCACATGGTGGGCAGGCACATGTTGCACACACCCATTACACACATTCATTAAACTTGAGCCTCTGCAATGACCCAGGCCCAGGTCTGCCCAACCAGCCACCAGGACTGAAGCTTAGACTGGTACCTTCTTGGTCATACTCCAGGGTGGCACCGAAGCAGTGAGGAACAAGTCATTAGAACCTGAAGGGAGAACTAGCCCTTGCCCAGGGCTCTTCCCTCACCTCCTAGATTGAGGCACTGGCCATCCCAGCACGAATACCCCACTCCCATTAAACATACATAGTCACCCAGGTTGCCCACCTCCCAGCACCCGGCTGAAGTTTTGGGAGTGCACGGACCTCTGAGCTCTGGATTAAGAGCTCACACACATACTGATCTGAGTAACCCTCCGAGAAGTTTTATCCACAAACTGGTATATGCGTAATTTAAATCAACAATCAGCTGTGAAAGTACAAGGGAAAGATAGAAGGAGAGGGACAGGGAGGCAGCAGTGACAGCAGAGAGCAAGGGGAATGATTGATAAAGTCAGTGTGTATTTGTATGGGCAAAGAGAAATGTGCTCATTAATTCAATACATGTTTATTGAGCATCTACTCCATCCCGGGCACTGAGCTGGGTCTTGTGAGAAATAGACAGGCTTGGCCTCTGCCTCCCAGAGCTAAGATGCTCAGGCCTGTTACTCATCACGATCACCCAAAGAACTGTTTTTAAACTTTTTCCTGTACCCTATCCTGGACTTCCTAAGAGAATCTCCTGGGTGAGGCCCAGGAATCTGTATTTTAAGATCTCCCTGAGAGATGCATGCTGCTGGTCTACAGATTGATGTTTGGACATGGCAGATAATTAAGTAATAACAACAAAGTTTGATGCAAATCATGATAGGCAGGGGTTGTGTGGTGAGCTCTGAGAATGTGGAGGAGGGAGTGTACAGAAACACAGAGAAGTAGAATGTAGAGGAGCCACAGAAACTCAGGGCTAGAAAAAACCCTGGAATTTGTGTCATTCAATCTCACAATTACAGAAACCGAGGCCCAGACCCAGAGAGAAGACAAAGCCAGAGCTAATAAGATAATAGATAACCATTACCAGACATATGGATATACTGTTTGTCAGTTGCTAAAGAGCTCGATGGAGATGAAGTTTGAGATGAATGGTGGACACACGGAAGGTAAGATAGATGACAAAGATAATGAACAAATGGGTAATTCTTATTGTTAGGAAGAACATATAATTAATAGAAAAATCGGAAATATAAATTAGCCAGTTTTGGGGAGGCAGTTTAATGAGAGCAGACAGAAGTAGATGGCTAGATGTAAAACAGCCACGGGGAGGGACAGATTAGAGAGCTCTGAGAGACAGATACAGATATTAACAGTAGAAATGCATGGCAGGGGGGTTGATGGGGGTGACTGATGCCTGACAAATAGCTCATAGCTGGAAATGACAGGTAAGCTTGCCTGGTAAGTACCAAGAGGTGGATAGAGAAGTAGTTAATTATATAGCCTGGCTCCAAATGATAAGTTATGAGGGCAACAGAAAGGCAATGTTGATGATGGAAACTGCATAAGGCAGGAAAAACACTGGACTAAGAGGACACCCAGGTTTGGATCTTCTTATGCTTCTAATCCAACATACTACCTTAAAGGGAAGGGACTAGGGACGGGGATTAATATTATTTGAGCTCATATGAGGTACTTTAGTCATTAAACAACCTATTTTCTCGATGAGGAAACCAGAGCTCAGAGAGGTTAAGTGACTTGCCCAGGGTTACACAGTTAAGTTAGCAGGGAGGCAGGTATTTAAAATCGTGTTTGCCCACCTGGGAAGCTCTGCCCAATCCATCTCTCCATCTCAGGGTCTTCACCTGGAAAGACAGGCTGCCACGGGAGATTCCTCAGGCTAAAACCTCCCCTCATTCTTTTTGTTGTACCATATGCAAAAAGCAGCTCATTTACAGACGGGAAGAAGATTAACCCTAAGTTTTGATAGTTAATGAAGCTGGATACATTTATGTTATTCTATCTGGTTTTGTTTTAAATATATGTTTGAAATGTCTCATAATAAAAATGAAAGAAACAATCAGTCCGTCTACTAACTGGCATTGTTAGGAGCAAATATTGACAGGCATCTAGGTTCAGTTTGAAAGAGAGTTAATTAAAAATGCTCTCACTGAGCTAAAAAATTGAAAGTTTAAAAACAATGACATTATTTCAACAAGTGTTAATCTGTGGGTGGTAGGATTAAAAACCATTTTTGTTTTCTTACACTTCTGCAATTAAAATTTAATAAATATTACTTTTTAAATGAGGTTAATTATAAACACCATTCTTAAACTAACACCTTGTTTCAAACAATAATTTTAAAACACTGCCAGAAGGGAAAAGGGAGTGTTATTTTATTAACTTATATTTTAAAAACATATCTTTCTTTGAAACGTTTTTAAATTAACTCTTGTTTTGTAAGCTTTTCCCCTGCAGTTAGAACAGCCCAGCAAGCATGTCTGAAAACGCACGGGTCCTGCCTCTGACCCATGAGCGATTTGTAGATTGTTAAGTGGGGCATCAGACAGATATGACAATAGATGCCAATAATGCCACCAAAGGAGGAGAGGGTGAGGTCCGCCGAAGAAAGCTGGGGATGAAGTTTGGGTCTAGGCTCCCTCACTAAGCCCCCTTCCTACTCTGGCTGCTAAAGGGAGGCTCCGGCTGCCCCCCATGCCGGGCATCTTCTCACTGCCCGGGACTTGGGAGGGGACGATGGTGTAGTAGGGGCGAGACCATGAGGAAAAGGGGAGCGGAAGGTGAAAAGTCAGCCGGGAGGTAGCTGGGGGACCGTGGAGCTGGCCTCTCGCAACTCTGGGAGCCGGCAGGCACGCAAGGCCCATCCAGAGACTGAAATCCAGCTCCAGGGCAGCAGCTAGGCTGAGGGTCGCTGAGCCCCACTCCAACACGTCGGACCCGGGTGGACCAGGAGCTTATGCAGTGATCCCCAGGCAGCATTTATTTATGGCAAAGTCTACTTACAATGAACCCAAATCCACCTCCCTATAACTTTCATCTAATTCTTTAATTTTTTCCCTTAAATTAATGATCATTTACAAAAACACTACACGGTAATTGTTAATTTCACTCAGTTCAAGCCCAGACGCCGTTGGGGTTTATTCCTTCTCCCATTCGACAGCCTTTCCAGTGATTCAGAGCAGCCCCTGAGTACCCGGGGTCTATTTCCCACCATGCCCAGGCCCCTCAGATGCTCTGCGCGCGCACACCGTGGCTTCCACAGCCCTACCAGACGGCCTGGGCCGGATCAGAGGAACCCTCGGGCCCCAAGCAGGGGCTGGCCCCTCCCTGGCTAAGCCCCTCTGTTGGTAGTCTGAGGACACCTGGGCTTTCTCCCCAGACCCTCCCTTGGCTGGTGGGCAGCCAAGGCCCCGGAACAGCAGCAAAGCCAGTGCGGACTGGCTCCCCGCAGGACTATGAGCGCCCCGGCACAGTGGCGGGAAAAGGGCTGCAGTAATGCCAGGGCTGGGGCCAGCTCCAGTGGCCTTGGTGCTGCCTGCGCTGCCCTCTCCCCAGGCGACCCGCTTCCTCCAGAGAACCTGGTCCCTCTGTGAGGAGCTTTGGGAGCCGGGCTCGGGATGCAGTTTGCATTTACTCTGCCTCCTGCTAGGTCCTTAGCGCTTGACAAAAGTCCTGCGGCCTCAGCAGGCTGCACGCAGTCTCCAGGAAGGGGCTCTAAATTAGACAGGCTTGACTGCAGCGCCGCGAGGAAGGGGGGCTTTTTGGAACCCAGTGGTGCTGGGCTGGGGCGGGCTCAGGGCCTCTCCTGCACCCGCGCACCCTCACCTCGACCTGGGCTCCGGACGCTGGGCAGGCCGCGACCGGGGGTGATTACCTGCGTCTCGGAAAGGCTGAGACTGCCGGCCAGCTGCTTCCGCTCGGCGCCCACCACGTAGTGGTTCTTCTCGAAGGCGCGCTCCAGCCGCAGCAGCTGCGAGGGCGAGAAGGCCGTACGGATCCGCTTGGGCTTGCGTGCGAAGGGGCCGTGCAGAAGCAGCCCGTCCTGGGGCACGTCGCTGGCTGCGGCCCCGCCGCCGACGGCAACACACGCAGGTACAGACAGAGAGAAGGGGCGCCGTGAGCCGGGGCCCGGCAGAGCCCGGCCTCCCGCCCTGCTCCCACGCGCCCTGCCCTCTCTATTCCTTGACACGCACACACACGCCATTTCTCCCTTTGCCCTTTGGCCGCCCCCTCCCTAAGTCCACTCCCCTCCTCGACACCTCCCCACACTAGAGAGCCACTCCGCGGGGGTACGCGGGGAATAACAGCACTCCAGATCCCTCTGTTAGGCCAAGAGATGGGTCCAGGCCGGACAAGGCGCCGACTAGCCCAAATCCACAATGCCTGGGGCAGCGGAAGAGGCCAAGGAGTGGCGAAGAAAAGTCCCTTGGCTCTCTTTCTCCGTCCTTTCCCAGAGGCGCTGCCCTGGCCGCCAGTCCCAACGATTTGCTTTTAGTTAACCGGTCGCAAAACATCTCCCTCCAAGAGGACCCAGGGTAGAGGCAGGGCCGGGGGTCAGGAAGGTGATAAGGGGAGCAGCGGTGTGCCAGGCACACCCTTGCCAAACACAGATTCAAGAACTAGAAGGTACCCAAGGAGCAATCCCTTCACACCTGCTTGCACTAGTCTTGCAGCTGAATGCTCAGGCTACTAGCTCATTAAAAACTCCTGCCAGCAGGCTCTAGCTCTGTCTTGCAGAGGGTATAAATAGGCCAGTGGCTAGGTCAGTGGTCCAGGCAGCACCTGCAAGTGGAAAGTCAGGCTTCTTCTTCCCCTTTCTCCACTTCTCTCTCCTCCAGGCCTTGGCTGTCCAGAGACCCAGCCTCTAGAGTAAGCCCCCAAACCCCCTACCCCAACACACATACTGGAGACTCCAAGTACTGTCTGGTGGGAAAAGCTTCATCCCTGCTTCATCCCTGAATAGTCCCTTGCTAAAGAAACATGTGTATAAATATCTAGATGTCATCTTTCTCTCTAATATATATAGATATAGATATATTGGTTTCTGCATGGGCGTGTGTAAATATATGTTCCAGCCTCCCTACTGTCTTTTTTTCCCATCTACTGTATAGGATTTTTAGAGTGTGACTGTCCCTTAGCAAATGTTGGCCAGCATAGGGACTCAGCTCCCACATGCAGGAGGAAAGGATAACACTGGACTGGATGAAGCTGGGGTAGGGGAGATGGGGTCAGAAACGATCAATGCCAAAACAAGCCTCTACCCACAGCCCCTGTCTCAATGAACCCCCACCCCCACCCCGCGCCCCGCAACTAGGCCCTCACACAATCTCTGGCTTGGTTGCACATGCTAACAAGACTCAAAACAGGCCCTGACAAAATCACCCATGGATTCTCATGCAAGGGCACATAACAGCCTCCTGACGCACCAACAACACAGAACTCTAGATGGAATATTTTGACAGAATTAGCTCTTGGGACTGACTGATCCAATTAATTTCTTCAGAGATGGCTACTGGTTGGACTTGATTTGACCTGTTGTTTTGCTCTAAGACAATCACCTGGATAATTCAGTTAACATCTCCCATCTCTGGAAACATCTATGTAAGTGAAGCAAAAGCACATAATTGAGATGCTGTAGCTAAAACTCTCCAGGTAACTGTATTGGTGGAACTTGCCTGACCTTACTTACTCCAAGTCTCTGGGCTGTGGATACCTAAACAGGCCAAGTTTTTGCTGGAGTTTTCTGTGGAAAAGAGTTGCTAGGATTGTGGGGTAGTGCCTGGGAGGGGTCAGTCAATAACCTCCAGTCATCTTATCAATTTCAACTGGTTGGATCTGTGCGGCCACAAAAATGGTGGGACCACATCACAGGGAGATGGGTGAGGGACACCTCATTTGGTTATTCAAGTGGGGGCAGATCTAGGGCCCTCGGATCTGACTGAAGGAAGAGAAGTTTCACTTGGGATAGTGGAATAGACAGATGGTCAGGGAAGGTGGTCTGGCAGAGATGAGTAAAGAGCAGAAAAATATGGAGCCTGCTCCAGGTGGGGAATAAGGAAGATTAAAGTCTCGGGGGTGGGGCCAAGTGAGGTAGGCCAGGGAAAGGTGGGTGGAAAGCAAATGCTTCTTGTTGACGTTAATAACTTGCCTCAAAAAACAACATTGTTATGAACCTGGGTGAAGTCCCAGTAGTGGTTTCCTCTGGACAAATGAACCAGAGAGGGAGAGAGAAAGTCTAGCTCATCCCAGCATTGGCAGGGTTTGGCCTCAGCTGCTGGGCTGGCCCAGGTTGGTCAGAAGTGAGGCTGCAGTGTGGAAAGCCCAGTAAGTGTGTGTGAATAGGATGCAGAGGTGTGAAGGGCAGTGTGGGGCTGAGGAAGCAGGTTTGCAGTCTGCCCCAGTGTCTGTCACTTAGTGACTATTTTGCGATTCTGTGGTATATGTCAGTCACCTGAGTGGTGGAGTGCTCTGTGTTTGTCTTTATAAACCCAGATGAGAGGATGAAGGCAACAAGCTTCTGTCCCAACATATATGCCCCTTTGCCTCAAGTCTGGTTATTTTAGGGGGATGCTAGGTTGCTTTGGGTCTACCTTACTGAGAAAATGGGCCCAGGTCATTGTCATGTCCAGTTGTGGTAGATAGCATGTCTCCTAAAGGGTATATTTACATGCAAGTGCAAAAACACAGGGGTCCTTCTAACCCCATCACAGAGAAGCAGGAGACTGCAGGATGAGTCAAGATGCTAAGTGATGACAGGTTATTTAATTCCAAAAGAATAAGGACATTTCCCTGTTAGAAAGCGGATGTTCAGTACAACACTAAACATCCTGAGAAACAGATCAATTGCTACATGTTTCCGCAAAGACAAGGGTGATGCCTTAGGTGCCCAAGTGCCTGTACCCACCCCCCTCCCGACCTGTGGGAAGGAGGCCTGAACCACCCCTACCAAGGGTTCAGTTTCCCTTGCCTGGACTACAAGGGCAGAACAAACTTGGGGCTGGAGTGCGGCCTGTTTGGACGCAGTAATTCCGGGCTGTGAGAACGGGCTGTCAGTTTCGGACTAGGACAGTTAGCAAAGTGGAAAGGGACTGGTATGGCCTTCCCTGGAGCTAGGGAAATGAATACCCCTCTCCCCCCACCCCCGGCCTCCCTACCCCTCCGATTTTTCTACAGTCACTCTTTTAGGGCCCCTTCAAGGCAATGGCTGGGAACTAGCACTAGGAACTCCCAGGAATGAGGCGGCTGGAGGTAGGAGCTGGGGATCCGAAGCACCCGGGTCCGAACTGCAGTCTTCGAGCTGCAGTGTTCGCTGGAGAGGCCGCCGCCGGCCGGAGGCTCGGGACCGGACGGCTGGGCGGAGGGCCCTAGGGCTAGGAGAAGGAGAGGCAGGACAGGCGGCGGAGATAACCTCATTCCCCGTCCTCCTGCCAGAACAAAGGCGACCTTAGAAGCTCCGGCCCATTGTCGTTGCGGGTCCCGGGGCGCTGGGTCTCTACACCCCCCTCCCGGCGTTGCTCCTAGACCCAGAAAGTTCCTGATCTCGGGGAAACAGTACCGAAATGCGGCCCACTCCTGGTCTTCGCCGGCTCCTCCCCTTCGGGCCTCGCGAGCGGCCCCGACCTTCGGGGTCCAGGAAGATTCCGCATTCACTTTTCCCCTTCCACCACCTCGGTTAGCGGAGACGCCGCTTCCCTGCGCGCCGGGACCGCGCCGCCCGAGCGCTGCGCACAGAGCGCAGACATGTTCCTTTTCGTTCGTGTGGGGTTTCGTTTGTTGCATTAAAACGGGGCTGAAATGAGCATCGCTGAGACCCGGTTCTCTAGAAAACGCGGCGCCGGAGGGCCCGAGACGGCTCGGCTCCCAGCCCCGCGGCCTGGCCGGGACTGGAGGGCGTGGAGCCGCCGGGGAGCGCGTCCGTCTGCAGCGGCGACGATGGACCGCGAAGCCACAGCGCTTCAGGGTTCGAAAAGTGCTTCAGTACCCAACGGATTTCCGGGTCTGAAAATGCAGCCACACTTGGCTCCATCTCCGCGTCCAGACTCGGTTCTTGAGAGAAAAATTCAACTGTTTGTGCAACTCGATAACGTACCCGCTGGGGCTGATGGCTCAGGAAGCGGCGGCAATTTCCAAGAGGGTTTTGCGAAGGATTTATCCGCCTCGCCTCGCCTGGCTGGAGACGCTCAGAGCTGGAGCTGGATTTTTCTCGAGGCGCCCCCGGCCCTCGGCGCCCGGAGGCGGGAACCGCGGTGCGGAGGGCGTCAGGGGCTGGATTTGAAGCCGAGGGTGCGGCCCAGGATGCCGCCTCCGGACAAGCTGAACCCCTGGAGGCCACAGCATTTAGGAGCGGCCCCGCCCTCTCCTCCGAACCCCTAACCCTCCACCAGCCTCCAACCCGCCAGCCCCTCGGCCGCGGCGGCCCGCCCGCGGGCTCACACACCGCCCCAACTACAACTCGGCCCTTGGGCGCCAGGTTTTGAGACCCAGGCTTCGGATCGAGCCCACGGAGGACCAGGGTAGATTGCTCAATTTTGAAGACATTCTCATGTTATCGGTAAACATTTATTTTTAAGTGGCAGAAACTCTTGCCCAAGGCAGATGACATTGTAGGCATTTTTGTTTTTTTCGGATTTGGATTTGGGCAAGTCTTTGAAATCTTCAAAGAGGAGACAAGGCTGCCCACAACCATTCTTATTCTAGTAATTACATTCTCTGGTTTTGTGGGATCTGCCAAGCCAGGATCTATTGGCCAGGTGGGACTGAAAAAATTGCCTGACGAATCGGGACCCGGGAAAGCGGTTTTCTGTGAAAGTCAATGTCAACAGATAATTTTCATTTTATTATCTAAATAACTGTGCCAAACATCTAATTGACTATAGACATAGACTATTGACCGTCACATTAGCTCCCGGAGCCGAAGCTCCAGCCATGTCCCTTTCATTTGTTTCTCTAAAAGCCGGGTTACCTAGCTCTGAGCCATAGACCCTTCTCACAAGGCTGCGGTCTGGTCTACACTAACAAAATAAAACTGGAAACTAAAGTGATGACTGTACAAATCAAGGCCACTCTTTAAAATAAAATTTAGAAAAAGAAAAAAAAAAAAGAAAAGAAAAGAAAAACAAACTCCAACAAATTTCAAGGAAGAAAACGAACTCCAACAAATGCAACTCTCTTTTCTCTGGGAAAGACAAATAATTGAAACGTGTCTCTGTGTGTGTGTGTGTGTGTGTGTGTGTATGTGTGTGTGTGTGTAAGGCCACTGGAGGATCTTTATTAGCAAGCCGATTGCTGGGTGCAAACTCCGGGGTTCGGACGGGCTACGACCTTAAAAGCCCTCTGCCCCCGCCCCCTGCCCGGGAAAACTGTCCTCGGTACTCCAGCAGCCGGGTAGGCTCCCTCCCAAAGGCGACGAGCAACGGCGCAAGCCAGTTTGCTTACTGCAAACCTTCACCACCTTGGGTAAGAGAGGCACGTGTGACTTGGAGAAGTCGGGCCAAGGTTGCCGAGAAATATCCCAAGACAGCCGGGTCCTCCACGCTGAACATTAACTCTCCGACTCGCCCTCCCCGCTGCCCTTGCTTCCCACAGAACTAGAGCACGCGGATGGACTTTCCCCGGCCCTGACGCGCCAGCGAAGGCTGAAGTCTGGGAGGTGGTGGTGGACGTGCGAGCGATGCGTGGTGCCAGGTCAAGCCGGGTGGAGGGAGAGTGGGAGCAGTTGTACTCTGGGCTAAAACTGGCTCAGCCGGGAGAGACAATTGGGCAGGCCGTGGCGAGGGCCAGCAGAGGCTCCGACAACGCGCCTGGGCTTGCGTCCGAACTGATACATTTTCTAGAAAAGCCTGGAGGTCTCCACCTGCTTTCCTGGGAGGGAGACCAACGCGTCAGAGGCGCGGGTAGAGCCCGCACGGCTGTTCCCTGCTTGGGAATCTACCTCCGCGGACCTGCAGCCTTCCCAGCAGTAACTTCTGAACGGCCCCGCGCGCCCCCGAGCCTCCCCCGCATCGCCGCAGCGCGGGCGCCGGCCGGCCGCCTCGGCGGGCACAGCGTGGGCACTCACCCTGGAAGCGGTGGCCGAAGAAGCGGTTCCGCAGGACCCAGGGGTAGAAATGGAGAGGGTCCCGGTGCTGGGCGCCGAAGAAGGAGTGCGGGGGCTGCAGCGGGGAGGCGCCCAGCTGGTGCGCCGGATGCACGGTCAGCGCGGGGTGGTTCATGGCCTCGGGGAACACGAGCTCTGGCCCACCGTAGAGCGAGCGGCCCGCGCCCGCGGCGGCCGCGGCAGGGAAGCCACTCACGAAGGCCGCCTCGGCCGCGCTGGGGTGAGGGTAGTTGAGCGCCGTGGGCCGGAGCGGTTCCTCAGAGGCGGCCGCCGCCAGGAGATGGGATCCCGCGCCCCCGCCGCCAGTGCCCCCGCCGGTGCCGCCGTCCTTGGCCACCAAGGACTCTATGGTAAAGCCGCGCTTGGCCGCGGGCTGGAACATGGTCGCAGCCGCGGGAGCTGTGCGAGGCAGCCGGGCTCTGGGGAGCGCTCCGCGTCCTGGCGCCGCCGCCGTGCGGGGTGTGCACCCAGCCAGGCACATGCACACCCGCCCGCACCCCTCACCTCCCACGCCCGCCCGCTTGCGCTCGGCCCCCGCGGGCGAGCCAGGCGCGGAGCGGCGAGGGGTGTGTGAGCGAGCGAGCGCGGGGTCCGGCCACAGCGTACAGCCAGGCGCGGCGGCAGCTGCGGCGGAGCGGGCAGCTCCAGGCGCCCGCACAGGCGCGGGCTCCGTGCGAGGCTGCGAGCTGCCGGTAAGGCCCGAGGGCTGAGCCCGGCTCCCTCCTTTCGGAGTCCCGCTGGGACCGACCCCAGCCCCCGGTGTCCCCGCACTGCCCTGCCCGGCCCCAGCAGCCCAGCGCTGCGAGGCGCGAGTTAGCGGGCACCTGCCCCGCGCTCGCCCATTGGCCGCCGCTCACCTGCCCCAAGGTGGGGGGCGGGGCGGGGCGGGGCGAGGGACTGCGGGTGGGGAGGGAGCCCGCAGTCGGAGGCAAAAGCCGGACTGGAGCCTTCGCGGGGAGATTCAGGCCTCCTCCTCCCCTCGCCACTGGCTTCTCCTCGCGACTCCGCCCTTTAGCTGAGTCTGGTGGCCGCTGCCGCCGTCTCAACCCACGCGGGAACCGAAGAAGGCGTCCGAAGGGCCTGGGGGTAAACTCTAATCCCCGCCTCCCCGGTGTGTAGCTCAGCCTAACTCTCCCATTCGTCCTGGGATATCGTTCCAGTTCTCAAAGAACTTGGATCCGAGAGGAGGGTGGATGTTTGGGGTCCAACATGTTGGTTTTCCCGAAAAACAGCTTTTTGCTCTCCTGCTCTCCGGGACTCTCCTACTCACCCACTATCGGCCTCCTGGGCCGCGGTCTGAAGCTGCGGCCTTGTTCCTGAGGTTTCGCGTTTTCTGGATGTCACGGGGGACAGCTCTGGAAAGGGGACGCTCACTGCCTTCACAAGGGGCCAGACGGGGCATTGCGCGGGAGAAGCCGCCGAAGCGGTCCCACTGCAACCCTCCAGCTGTTCGCGGGGCTGGAAGCAGCTCCTGTGCCCAGCCACCGCGCCGCGACCGGCTCGGACCAGGACGGCGGGCCTCGGCACTGGGCGATCCACCTCCTCGCCTTCTCTGAGGCTCGGGGGGCTCAAGTGTCAGCGGGCCGGACCAGGCCAGGGCCTCGGAGACACTGTGGCTTAAATTGAAGCTGTCCAAGTAGCCGCAGCCCATCCCAAGAGAACACGCCGGCCGTCAGGACACGCAGAGGCAGCCTGACCTCCCTCGACCTTCACCTTCCACCTGCAACCGCGGAACCGCGGACGGCTCTGCTCCGGCCAGTTTTTCTGTGTTGCGGACGAATTCCCTGGGGGCAATTCTCACGACTGGCCGTGAGAGCCGGAACTCCGCAAACTTTCCCACCCCGACCTTCCAGGCCGCAGAAAGGCGGTGCTCCGAGGCCTAGGAGGGCGCGGGCAGCGGTGGGGAGGCTGGGACCTGGACCTTGCCAGCGCACTGTGGAGAGGAAGCCGCAGAGAGTTCCGCTTCCTCGCCGCTGCCGGGGTCCATCCTAGCGGCCTGAGCGCCGCCCAGGCGCGCAGATCCAGGCTGGGCCTCCTGACGCCCCAAGGCCACGGGGTCCACGCGCCGCGCAACTCTGCAGGGACTCCAGGCCGGGTCTTGGCAGCGGCCCGCCTGAGCGCCAGGAGCCTTGGTTTGGAGAGCGCTCCGGGCGCCCCGGCCGCCACAAAGCGGGTTAAAGTCTATTTTCCACTCGACTGCTCCGAAAAGCCCCCGCGCGCCGACGCCGTTCCGGCCCCCTTGGACGAGGTGGGGAGGGGCGGCCAGGGGCGGGGAGGCGAGGCGGCCGCACCCAGCACTCCTCCGCGTCCTGGGAACCCCGGGGCCTGGCACGGCGGAGACACCGCAGAGGCGCCTTCGGAAGGAATGATGGAATCAGTGGGGAGCGCGGGTGTCTCTTTTGCTGGCCTCTCCGGAGATTTCCGGCTTTCTGTGAGGGTCTTTTCCTCTCGTTTCTGTCTCAGGCTCTTTATTTTCCCCCTCTCCTGCCTCCCGGCTCCCCTCCCTCCCGACTTTTCCTCCTCTGATTTCTTCCCCCTCCTCCTTTTCACCACCCTCAGTCTGGGAGAAGGGGAAGCGCCGCCGAGTGGGGGACCAGGACCCGACCAGGCCGTATCTCTAAGGGGGCGGGGGTGCGGAGCTGGGCAGAGGTACAGAAGATTTTCGTTCCATATGGAAGGAGACAACGACGGGATTTTGTTGGAGCAAGGTTCCCACAGGGATGCGGGTTCAGTTGGATAAACGTTGCCTGCGCCTGTGCTCTGCGGCGACAGAGCAAGTGCTGGGGGCTGAGACAAGACGGGAGCCCAGCAAGCTGAACCCGGCCCCAGGGCCTTGCACTCCTAGCCTGGTAATGAATCCCACCCGTCCTGTCGCAGACCCCCGCCTCCTACCCCCACCGCAAGGCTGGCTAGGGGCCGCGAACTTGTTTAACTGGGCAGGTAGAGGAGCTTGGAATCTACCCACCGTCCTAGACTTGCATCTACACTGGCCACCTCCTTTCATTCATGTGGCTCTGGGTGTACTTGTTCATATCTAAATCGATAGACCTTTTATTACACCACCTTCCCTTGTGAGGCTTTCAAATGCTGACATTCCTATTCGGGAGGCTGAGGCAGGAAGATCTCTCGAGCCCAGGAGGTCGAGGCTGCAGTGAGCCGTAATCATACCACTGCACTCCAGCCTGGGCGACACAGGGAGATCCCATCTCTAAAACAAACAACAAAAAAGCTGACATCCAGTTGTCTGTCATTAACTCCACTTTACAGATGAAGAAACAGCAGAGGATCAGTAACTTGAGTCTGGTCACCGTCTGGGTTGGGCTGGGACAGCCCAGGGGTCCCAGCCTGGCCTAGGTTCCACTCCCATTCCATCCCTGCCAGGATGCAGTCCCATACTTCCCCGGGGAGGAGGAGGGGGTTGGAATGCGCTGGGCGATAGGAGTTCTGTTTTCGTCCTCCCTCACCCTTCCCTCTCCCAGCGCCCATTTCTGTCAGCTTCCTTTCCTGTATTTCCCTAATTGTCTTCTTTTTCTTCCATAGCTCTGCTTATCTTTATCCCTTGTCTAGTTTCCTCTGTTTTCACTCTTCTTAGGACCTCTTCTCTTGTCGTTTTCCCTGCAGCAAGTTAAGAGAAGAATTTGTCACCCTCAGGGGGTCTGTAAGCCTGCCTCTGTGTTCTGGATTCTGTATCAGTGCCCCCACCCCAATCTCCTCCTGTGCCATCTCCCCTGCCCTGTTCCTCCCAGACTCTCATACTGCTCCCTCTACCACCATCCCCCACAAATGATCTTATACACAAATACTTCCCCTCTTCACCACCGGACAGCTGCCCATCTTAACCAAAACCTGTTCCCCCCACCACCTTCTGTTCCCTGCCCTTCCTTTCCTCCCACCCAAGCTGCTGAGCTCTGCTAGAGACTGGAGGCTCCTCACGCTGGAGTCCACTATATCCCACCCATCTTCAGGCTGCTTACCTTTCACTTTGCCCCTGTCCAGCCTCCCACCTGCTTCCTGAAGTTCCCATCTCCTGCAACCTGGAGCCTCACTTTCTGGAGAATAGCCGGATGCCTCCTAGGCTGATACAGCCTACCCTACTGTTCTGGCTCTGGCCCCACATTAACATTTTCCCTCCCTTCCTCCCTCTGTCTCTGGAACAACCTGGCCCCAAATCCAGACTCTCCTATTTATTAGTGGTGAGCCCTGGGCCAATTATTTTGCCTCAGCTTGCATATCTGTGAAATGGCAAGCATGATATGGGACCTCTGTGAGGAGTATATCAGCTAACATATGTGGTGCAGTGGATCAATGTCAGACTCCAAAGAAGCACTCAGTACAAGATACTGTCTCTGCCTTTGTCCATGCGGAGAACTTGGGAATCACCTCAAAGCCTCACTCTCTCATCCTCCACATCCAATCAGTGGCTCAGTCGTCCAGTGATGTAATCCTCAAGTCCATATCCTCTTCCTTTTGTTTCTTTGCTGGCTAACTTCATTCTTAAAACTCAATTCATCTCCCTGGGAATCCCTCCACCCCATTCTTTCATAGCATTCACCTGCGCGATGGAGTTGTGTGTGTCTCCTTCTGTCCCCCTCACCAGGCCATGACTCCCTGCTCCCTCTAGCTGGGAACTGCTGTGTACATCTTGCCACCAGCACAAGCCAGGCAATGTTTCTCCAACAGAGCTCTTGTGAGAATTTGGACCAGCCACACCCCCAGCCATCTCTCTTTCACCTTTCACCCCTTTCTTTCTTATTCAGCCTGACTTCATCTTTATGTCTCCTTGCCTTAGAAAGAGTTTTCTGTCCTCATGTTTCCCACAGTCTTTTGACTTGTCTTCTTCACCACAAAACAACTTGAATGATTTTTAGTCTCTCTCCAACTCTCTCACTTGTCCTCTACCCAAGCCTTTGCAACCAGACTTGGATGCCCATCATATTAGGAAAATGGCTTTTGCAAAAGCTCCAAACATTTCATTATGGTGTTAGGACAAGGGCAAGCAACATGTGCTTATGGAGAGCACAATAAGTTCAACCTCATGGAGTTATTGAGACCTAATGAGTTATAATCTCCACCTGATGAACTTAGAGCAGTGCCTGGAATATAGTAGGCTTTTGATAAATATTAACTGCTATTATTTCATAGAGCCATGCTAGGAGCCAAATGCGGTTATGTGGTGCTTGAGAAGTGGCCCAAATAGAGATGTTCTGTAAATGTGAATACCCACTGCATTTAGTGTTAAACAGGTTTAGTGCTAAAATATTTATTAATATTTTTATATCGATTACACATAATAATGGATATATTGAGTAAAATAAAATATCTTAAGAAGATTATTTTATCTGTTTCTTTCTACTTTTTAAACGTGGCCACCAGAACATTTAAAATTACATGTGTGTCTCACATTATATTTCTATTGGACAGAGTTATAAAAAATACAGATGATCCAAAAGGGGGGAGTGAAGGGAAAACACAGATTGTCAAATCCTACTACCCAGAAACAAACATCGTGAAATTCTGATAGTATATCCTTCCAGTTATTTTATATGTGCCTCCCTTTAAAAAAAGGATAATACTGTACATAGTATTGTAACTTCTTTATCTTTATAACCAATCAAAGCATCTTTGCCTCTCATTAAATATTCTTTATTGTTGGATATTTATACAGTTTACAGATTTTCACTGTTGTAACAAAATTTCAACAAACAGCTCCATAGCTGTATCTTACTGCATGTTTGTGTTTCTTCTCTACATATTTCTAGCTGTGTAATTTCTAGATATGCAATATTTTCATTCATTTTATTCATTGTCACTAGTTTGGCCTCTGGAAATGTTATATATAGTTATTCTTCCACAGGCTGACTTTAAGAATCTCTCTTCATCCTCTGAAATGTTCATTAGGACACCTTATTTCCAAATTTGAGTCTTTTTTAGTCACAGTTGTTTATAGGCTCCTCAGCATCTGAGTACCTTCAACCCCCTTTTCTTTTGGAAACTCTCTTCTCTTTATTTTCTGGACAAGATACTTGCCTGGATCTGCAAACTCCCTCATTCCATGTATCATGCCATTTATTCTATCTATCTGTCTATCTATCTATCTATCTACCAACCATCTATCATTATCTATTTCCACAGTTTCAACCAATACTATAATGCAGACCCCGGCAGGTTTGTAATGCCAGTCCTGTATTTTTCTCCAGATCAAGTCACTGATTTTCAAATGCTTGTGAGAAGCTTTCTGGAGGGGTCCTACAGGCCCCCTAGACACTCACCATACCCCCAAACTACGGTCAACATCATCCTCCCCAAATCTGTGCCTCTCTCTGGCTTCTCTCTTCTGATAGTGACTGCCCCTTTCTGCAGGATACCCAGGCTTAGCAGCTAAGAGGCATCTGTGATATCTCCTCTCTCTCAGTCATTGCTCTGCACATCCAGTCAGTCTTTGCATTTTTTCATTTCTTTCTGTTCTCCTTCCCTCTAATTTTGGTTCTTGTTAACTTTTCCCAGTGATTCTCTTATGATAGCCATTTGTGATCTCTCTTCTCTACAATTCATCTTACACATGGCTGGCTACCAGACTTCTACAATACAACTCTAACCTGCTAAAATTTTTTTCAGACAACTCTGGGACCCAGGGTGGTTTTTTTTTTTTTTTTTTTTTTTTTTTAACCTCTCTGTGACTCAGTTTTTCATCAGCAATCTGGAAATAATAAGACCTACTCTGGAGAGTTAAGAGAATTAGAATGAGGTGATTCATGCATAGCTCTTAGCGCATAGTAAGCACTCAGTAAACATTAACTATTAGTGTCACTGTTCCAATAAAGTTCAAACTCCTAAGCTTGGCATTCAAGGCTTTCCATGAGCAAGTCGTACCTGTCTAGCCTCATGTCTTCTGCTCACCTTTGGGTAGCCTGCCCTTTGACAATACTGCCACCAGCCAGAGCATTCATCCAGGGACTCTGTGCTCCCTGTGCCACTCTGTGCTTGTCCTGTACCTTCGCTTTGCTCAAAAACATTACTCCAAGCCAGGTTCAATGGCTCACACCTATAATCTCAGCACTTTTGGAGGCTGTGGCAGAAAGACTGCTTGAGGCCAGGAGTTCAAGACCAGCCTGGGTAACATAGTGAGACCCTGTCTCTACAAAAAATTAAAAATATTAGCCAGATGTGGTGGTGCATGCCTGTAGTCCCAGCTACTCTGGAGGCTGAGGTGGGAGAATCACTTGAGACTAAAAGTTCGAGCCTGCAGTCAGCCATGATCACACCACTACACTCCAGCCTGGGTGA